TTTTGAATTAACAATCCAACCTGACAGTACAGTTTCAATCCATTACTCAGGTTAAACTAATCACTCAAAACGTACAAATGTTGACTCATGAGACAATGTGCTAAGAGAGACAGATGATACTCTTTAAATAGAAAACAATCAAAAACGGAAATCTTGTCTTTTACTTTTTTCAAATGCATCATATCATTATGCAGGTCACACCTTTTTGCAAAATACTGCATAAAAAAGTTGTATTGTAACTTTTCTCAAAGTTTTTACAAGGCATTTTAAATGGAATCCTCTTGTTTTTTCTCTCGCTGATTGTATTGGTTCTGGCTGAGCTGGGTTCATTTTCCCATAGCAGCCCTCACAGTGCTGTGCAGTTTGGTGGCACCTGGCACCTGTCAACCCACCACAGTGCTTCATGTCGTACATCCGGCAACTTTATCTGTTCAGACTTCACTGACTGGTGAAAGTCTATATTTAAGAATCCAAAAGTGGTTTAGGGATGTTTTGTTTTTTTTTGGTGGAAATCTTTGGAACCCATTCATACTTTGTTTATGCTTCGCTAATTTATATCATCATGTATTTTTTGTGGCAACACTTGATCATGCACACAGAAAAATCTTTGAATTTCATATTGACAATATGTATCTTCTTGCTTAGTATTTACTAATTCTGGAAATGCAAATTTTTCACGGGATCATATTATATGCAATAAATCTTTTTCTTCAAAAGATTTTCAGCTCCACAAAAGACAAGGGTATGAGAGAAAAGAGCTCAGATTATGATAGTCTTTATGTGAAAAGGAAGGGTGAGATCCCCCAGCCTCTCAACAATAGTCAATGAGAATGTTATTGTTAAAAATTATAATTGCAATATTTAGACCAAATATGGCATTCACAGCAAGAACTTTTATTTTTCTTATTCATTTTTAATAGAACTGAGATGTTCTGAATTGAGTGAACTATGAACAGTGAAGTCATGTAGCCCTTCCAAAGACACCTGAATAACACCTCACATTAACATTTAGGAATTAGGAAGAATACTCTTGTGTGTAAATAAAACCTGAAATCCTATTCAGACATAAGGGATGTCTTACTTTACTGAGGTAACAGAATGTAGATGAGAGTTAAAAAGAATTTAACAGATGGCAAACATCATAATGGAGATTTTATTACCAGCTTTAAGTAGTTTTGGTCCCAGAATATGCCACCAGAACCAGATTTAACAATGAGAAAAGCAGCTATACTGAAGTGGGTGAAGGAGCAGAAAGAGGAGAAAGGACATTTGAGACTTAAGAATGTAGTATAATGTCAGGCAAGAGACATAGACTGGTTTATTTATATAGAGATCGCAACATAAATCCTTTTCCAAGGTATTTTACCTCTCCAGCATGATTTGAAAAAGAAAATAATAAGACATAGATTAAGAAGCCTGAGAAATAAAACATTTAGGAGACTTCCTTCTTCAAAGAGGATGAATATCAGGTGAGATTTAAAAAAAAAAAAAAGTGGGAGATGAGGTTTGCCCATATATATCTTAAGCATAAAGATATCCTCGATATTTCTGCATATTTGAGCCCTGAGATCAGGGAGATCACCGGGAGAGCTCTGGCTGCAGTATAGAAACATGTGTGTTGCATGTTAAAATGAGCAAAGAAGGACGAACAAGTGGTAGAGCACTTTACAATCTATCACTGGTCTTGCTAGAAGTATTGAGAATTTTGATAGATGGTATTGAGAACCTCAGCGGAGTGATATTGGGATTAGCCCCTCCTCACAGAGCTATTTGAAAACAGATTCAAATCAATATGTAGGTGATAAGTATTTGTTGTTATTATTGCTGCATTCCACAGGGGGTTTCAAAGAGGTAATTCATTGTGACGCATGAAATAGTCCTGTGGGAGCTCCCAGGTTAGAGGAGAATAAAACTAGCAAATGAAGTGTCAAGACTTTATACTACTGTTTATTTTATACATTTAAAGTACACTATCCTTTCTAGTACTGTTTCTTCAAATAACTGCACGATTTACTGTATTTTAAAAGCACTTTTGAAAGAGCAAACCAGTCAGCACAATTGTAGCACTTTGAAGCATTAAATATAATGTAGTGATTGGACTGTTTGATAGGAAAAGGTAGATTTTTTCAAAATATAACACATTTTAAGCATTTTTGTAATGCAAGGCCATCATTCTGTATATACAAATACCAGATCTTCACTGGCCTTCTAAAGCCCAAAGGCTGTCACCACACATTTGTCAGTCTTCAGCACCAAATGAAAGAAATTCTTACATCTCTAGCACTGAATGTGGAAACAAGTAATCTTTCACTTCACAAGCTATGTGTACACATAAAATTGGTACAAGTTTGTTTGGCAAAAGTATATCCCCTCCCTTCCTCTCTGTTCCTCCTGGGTCTGAGTATCAAACACGCCCAAAAGGCAATGACATGGCATCAAAAAAAAAGGTGAATGTGTCTTTATACTTCATTTTTATACACAGCAATGTAATAAAAGGGGTGGTTCTGTATCATACCTTAATAGCATTTTAAGATCATTGATTTGTTACCCACAGGATTATCTCCTTGGTGAAAATGTCTGCAGAAGCTGCCAAAAGGGAATCCTGGGCTATGGCTAGGAACTCTAGACTCAACTATGGAAAAAAAAAGTAGCAATCCCCATTTCTTTCCTGGCTGGTTATGAGAGAAAGCAAAGTTGTCCAGAAGTAAAAGAATGCAAAAGGTTTTCTTGATAAGCAAAAATAATACTAACTTTATGACTCCATAGAGAAGCTAATGCTGAAGATCAAACATACTGTGGTCAACTTGTAGGCTTGCCTGAAATTCAGACAAACTTTTTAAGTAGCTGTAAGCAATATCATCATAGTGAATCGAACTCTTCAGTTTAAAAGCAAGGAGTTTAAAATCTTACCTGGCTTTTAATTGATACCAGTCACCCAAAGCTAAGAAAATGACACAAAATTATATACGTTGCATAAATATATGTAAAATATAGATATTAAAACTATAAACCTAAATTCCTATTATGTTTATGTTTTTTTCAACTCTAGTTCTTCACATAAAATCTTAAATCTTGAGAAGATAATTTTGTTTTCTTACTAAAATATATTGGTTTCCACTTTAAATCTAACTTTAAATTCCCAAAGTCCTACTCATATATCACAGTGATGCAATAGAAGAAATTTTCAAACACCTGTTCCATTTATCTTAAACACACACTTTAATATATACTTAAAAACACAAGTTATTTCTGAAAAAAAAAATCTTGATCTATATTGTAATAAAATTCTACAAAATGGAATGTTTTAACTGTTCTGTTGGACAGCCTGTATCTGACACCCCAGAACAAAGTAGGACTCTTTCTGGTACACATTAAAGACAACTTTTAAGTTGAATTCCAACAAGGAAATGCATGCCAGCATAAATTCATGAAATCAAAACAGTTCATGGAAGGTACTAGTAGCTCAAAATTTATGCAAAAGTCAAAATATCGAGACGTATGGATCCATATTTTTGTTCTATAAGATCTTAGAAAAAGTTCAAATGAAACAGAATTGCATGCAAATTTCACTGTGCCTAGCACACAGCTTATAATTCTAGAAATTTAGAAGATGTAGTATAAAGAGGACATGAAGGCTAATTATAATTCTGACATTTTGAAAATATTGCACTAAATATATCCATATTAAGAAAATTCTAATGCGGTAGAAGAGAGGGAAATGAAATATACTGTTCTTGAAATCCTTTTGTCATTTAATACTTTCTTAATAGCTCTAGTCACATTCTAAGACTATTTTACAGTACTTCAATACCACGGTGTGTCATTATGAAATAGATATAAGATATATACAGTATTACAAAGAACATCTGGTTTTAAATATTTCAACTCCTAACTTCTTTCTCCAAAGTTAAACCTCCAAGGGCATGCCAAGGAAGTAAGTGTCCAAACTTTTTTGGATATTGCTCAAATTCCCATCTAGACTTTTAGTAGGAATTGAAAATGTATAGATTAAGTGTCAGTGCAAAAGGATCTTAGGTTGATGCCAAACTGAATTGTTAAAGCATGCCCCAGAATGTTCTGTCGCATTTTTCCAGCAGTTCAAAAAGAAATGGGAAACTGCATGTTCTCTACAGACACATTTTTTAATTCCCTCTTTACTGTCAAGTCAAAAAAGACCTGGGGTTCACATCTAAGCCTGAAAGCATGCAACACCCTCAAATTCAGTGAATATAGATAATGAAAAATGCAGAAAAAACATTCAAAATAGAGAAATAGAGTTTAGATAAAAATATTCATTTATTGCCACCCTCTCTGCCTATATTGCTAAACTGGGAAGAGAAATAAGATATGCTGGAAAATGTCCTGATTCAGAGAAGTAGTAACTTACTTTGCTTATGATTGGAGTTCTATGCCTACCAAGTGCATAGCCACAGGATTTTTAATGAAAATTATTACAAATGTGTTTCAGAGAACAAACAAAACAAAAACACAATGCAACCAAATAAAACCCCAAACTACATAAAAACAAGACTGTAAGAAAACTGGAAAGATGCATAAGAAACAGCAGTGGCATTGTTGTTGAGTGCTTTAGTACATTGGTTCCAATAGTTTTCTATGAAATGCAGCTACCTCTACTAAACCTCATGGGTTGCCGCAGTTCTATCAAAAATTAGTACAGTTTCTCTTTTTAACTGCCTAGTCTCTTATGTTAATGTAAGAATTCAGAGGGACATGCCACTTTGCATCTATTATTCGACAAAAGTACTGTGTTAAGTCTATGTTATGCGAAGTGTATTTTATCATGTGTTAAGATAAAACTGATACTCATTGATACCATGCTCACAGAAATCCTGTAATGGCAGGCCTATTCCTGTAAACCTTGAAGCATTACACAGGTGACTTGACACAAAATTTTCTGAAATAATTCAGTGGCATGTATTAGTGAAAAGCATACCAATTCACTCTTTAAATGCATGAAGGAAACAGAATCATGGACTTACGGTCTGTAATTTTCAGGACTGTTTTGAATTCTCCACTTCCAGATCCTCCACAGCCATCTTCATCATCACAATCACCACTGATTTGTTCATCTACACCTCTGCCACTGCCTGTTTGTTGGAGATCCCATTTGTCATATTTTGGAAATGATTTGCCCTGCAGCAGCTGAAGACAAGATATAGTATGCAAGTTAGCAGTACATATGGAGAGCTTCAGAGAGTATCCAAAATTTCATATATGTCCCTAGTAATTACCTGATTTGAAAAGGAAATTTCAGGATCGACAGAATGAGAATTCTGATTTTTTTTTTTATTTTTTTTTTCAACTCTGACTTTCAGATAGATTTAAAAGAGTGGTATTTGTGGGTGTATAATTTAGTTTTAATTAAAAACCCAAAAAATATCTTTATGACTACACAAGAAAATCAAGCACTGATTCCTTGTCCAGGGGCCAAGTGGAATGGTTAAGTACATGGAATCATAGAAAAGTTTGGGTTGGAAGACACCTTTAAAGGCCATCTAGTCCTAATTCCCCTGCAATGAGCAGAGACATCTTCAACATCAGATCAGATTGCTCAGCACCCCAACCCAACCTGATCTTGAGTATTTCCATGGCTGGGTCATCTACCACTTTCCTGGAAAACTTGTTCCAGCATCTCACCAGGCTCATAACAAAAAAACTTATTCGCTACATGTGGTCAAAATCAAAACTCCTTCAGTTAAAAACCTTTGCCCTTATTTCTACCACAACAGACCTCACTAAAATGCTTGTTGCCCCTTTCTTATAGGCCCACTTAGAGCAGATGGTATCTGTGCTACTTAACAGCTGGTCCTGGATCTTTTAGAGACCCATGTGGTGTCTACAGAGACTTAAGATACATTTTTTTTTAATGTGAATTTTTCACATTTGAAATATCTGAAATAGTATGAGAGCTGTGTTGCAGCTCTATATAGGTGAATCCAAGACACACTTGTCCACTCTGGGTGTGTCATACAGAAATGTGGTAGAAGCTGAAGAAAAAAAAATGTGTTGGGATGATATTAAATGCTTGACCAAGGAACAGCAGACCAAACTAGTACATTCAGAGGCAGGGCTAGGATGGAGGGAGCTATTTCCAAAGGACCTCCAGTCATTACTTCGGTAGAACTAATAAAAGTGAAGTAAAATAAAACAAAGGGATAGCTGGTACTGGCCTAAGCAGTGTCAATGATGTGGTTCCAGTAAATAAGATTGTTCTCTATCTCTTTTTTATTTCTCACTATGGAGACGGCAAATGATATCTGCATGGTTTATAACAGTAGAGATCTGTTTAAAAAATTTCTCCACTCCGTTGAGCAGTGCTGAGCAGTCATCTGAATAATGTTAATCTCTCTCATATATCAAATGAACAAGTGCTGTCATAGAGTTTTTAAATACTAGGTGGTACAACTGTCATATACACACAAACAATGTGCCCTCTTTCCCATTCAGATTCAATTCAATTTACCTGTCAGATAAATATAAACATCATAACCTATAAAAACCCAGTTCTTACAAATGTTAATAATTTTTATACCCTCATCTCATCCAAAATGCCAGTTTGTAGAGGTTTGGGCATTACTCATGCTTCAGTCTAGGAAGATTTCTTTACACTGGCCAAAACCTCACTGTCTCAGATTCTTTAATTTAATAATCAGATAGTACTTTCTCTTTAAAGAAGATACTAATTAGTTAGAAACAGACTCAGTTGTTTTATATGTTCAAAAATCTGTTTGCTTTGTTGTTTAACAAAATAATAGGTTCATATTTTCAACCTATATACTGACTTTATTTTCAGATTATGGAGTCAATTCCCAGATGAGGATCTCTTAAGTGCTGAACAGTGCCCAACAAAAATATTTTAATCACTACTGCAACGAGATCATTCAGATAAATCTCAACGCTTCCATAAAATCCACTTGCTCCTCTGTGTAAGAACAGGAGAATGCCACTCACCACTGAATTAGTAGAGCCAATTTATGCAGCACTTTTAATTCAAAAGTTTTATTAGATATTTATATGCTACCTGAAAGACAAAATACCTAGCTAAGAGGAAAAAAAAGCTCCTCGGTACTGCTGCTCTGCTCCCTACTCATTGTGTAATCCATGCCACACTTCTACAAAATAGTATTTATTGAAACAAAACAGACTGTTTAATGAACTACACTCCGTTAAAGAGCACACTTCTTTTTCACCCCAGTTCATATTGTGACACATTCCCAGGGCCAGTTGTATGATAAGGTACTCTTTAGCTCTGAGATCTGTGGCACAAACAAGGGCAGGAACTTCCAGCAAGACAGTTTTCAAACAAAATGTGTTGCCAAATTTTCTACAACATGCCATATACATATATACCATATATACAATATACATCTGGTGTGTGTATATACATATATATATATATACATATACACCTATCTCTGTGCGTGTGTTTATATATGTTCATATATACACACACACATTTTTTCAGCCAGAGAACATGCATCCTCCTCTATATCTCTGTCTCAGTCTTAGAAATATATTGGCTTAATAAGGTTTTATATTTTGTTTGCCTCTTTAAATTTCAGCACAATTTAGTTATTTCTCTTTCCTCTCTTTTTCTCCCTTTTTTTATTATTATGCATTATTGACTTATGATTAGAAACCTAAAAATACAGATGATCCCACTTAATTGCTTTAAAGGTAGGTTCAGTATAGAAAAAGTACTCTAACTTTTTTCAAACTTTTCACTGAGCTTGAAATAGCAGAGATTAAATAATGATTAAGCTCATTTGTTATTTGGACTTTGTTATTCTCAATTCTGTCTCCTTAATTGTACAAGAAGAAATACTGTCTCCATATAAGTTCACAAGTCTCTGTGCTGATTCTCTACTAAGCAAGACTTGGATCTAGTATAAATTCTTTATTAAACAGAAATCCATGTCCTACTTCAAAGCTAAATTGATTCACATTATAAATAAAGTTGTTTAAAAGAATTATTCTCTTCTGCTGCACTTTTTATAAAGCTATTCTTTAAGAGGAAAATAAGTACATGTTATAACTGGAAAATTTTGTTGTGTATACTTACTGGGTCTTTCAGCTGAATGAGGAGGGTTACTAGCTGTATACTGTCTGTAAAAAAAAGTACAGTGACTGTTTTCCTGGTGTGTTGTAGTGTAAAATAGCCTCTTTTCTTTTTATTTTGTCTAAAAGTTATTCCATTCTATCAAATGGAAACCCCAAACCCCATGAGTTTAATCACACATCGTCTTTCAATTTCAATGAAAGACACAGCAAATATTCTTGGCAACCGTGTTTATTTGAATTAATTATGGCAAGGGATAGTTCACCAGTGTTCTGAGACTGCAGTAGACACACCAATATTCCAGATTTGCTGGTCCTTAATATTGATAGAATTTTATTGAACTAAGACTTTGTTATCAAAAGCATGTCCTCTGCTAGTGGCATTTTATTTCACAGAAAATTTGTGCACCACTACTATGGTATATGTGCATGGGGGAATGATTTGGGTGTAAATCAACAGAAAGGTCCTTGGGAGTCTTCAGCTTCGCAGCTTCACAGCTTCCCTACACAGCTTTGGGAAATTTGGCCTCCTCCTTAGACCTTTTAGTGCTCAGTTGCCAAAATTTAGGCTGATAAGACCTCTCAGGACTTGCACTGATGGCTTAGTGGAATGCTTTCTTTGACCCAAAAGCAATTCTGAACAAGGCTATAATACCAAAAAGTACCATTAATAAATTTTGTGGCATTTCACATTTTAGAATGGAAATATTTGCATTACAGAAGTTACATTGTTGCATTAAAGTACTTGCAGGGCTCTGTAAATACATGACTCTGTTCTGTAACATTTCAGTAAGAAGATGAACTGCTTGCAGCAGCTACAGAGGCACCTTATGAGGATTCTTGAAGCTTCTCAACAAATCTCAGAGTCTAAGCATAATTAGGAAAACTATCACTAAGGATGTATGATTATTGTACAATCCTATAGGGCTTTGTAATCTTTCAAGATTCTTTGAGACTTCTATTGACGATCTGGAAAGCAAAATGAAAAATAAAGTGGTAATGATAAATCTTTTATTGCCATGAGAACTGCAGAACTACTAAATAACAAAAAGAAGTGACAAACTAAGAAAATCTCATCTGGTAAGTGAGGCAATTGAGTGAATTTTAAAACACATACTATAAAAAAATACAGACAAAAGTAAATTTGCAAGTCTAAATATTGTATTATATGCATATTAAAAGACAAAATATTCTATTTCGTAAATTAATTGTGGGTGTTCTGTGTAGCCAGCAGAATATAAATTACTCAGAGCAGTGTTCTAGCCAAAGATTTTAATGGGATATATTTGGGGACAGAAATAGGAATACTAAGTCAGATTAGGGGTATTATATTACTCCTAAATCCCATTCTCATTGTCTTTGTTCAGAAAGGATGGTCCAGAAATGAATTCCATTACAGTGATTAAAATGGAACCAAAAATCCTTTTGTTTTAGTCACGGAGCTCATCCTCTAGCACATTCAAAAAAACCTTGATCTCAAGATTTAACCAGCCTTATAAGCCTTGTAAGTGCTTGTATGGCAAATACAGATTTAACAGATTTGGCAGGCCAAAGCATATGAAAATGGCAAATATTTTTTTTTTAAATTTAAACACTCAAAGTGAATAAAAAATATATATGCTACCAGAATCATACATTTAAAAACATTCAGGTTGGTCTATATAAAAATAAATTTTCAATAATAAATTCAATAATTATCAAGAGTTGGGGTAAGGGGTTTTTTTTTAGTTTGGTTTGATTTGGTTTGGTTTTTTGTTGGTGTGGGTTTTTTGTTGGTTTGGTTTTGGTTTGTTTTTTTTTTTTTTTTTTGTTTGTTTGTTTGTTGGTTTTTTGGTTTGTTTTTTTTTTTTTTTTTTTTTTTTTTTTTTTGGTTTGGGTTTTTTTCTGTTTTTTTCCTTGTTCTAATAGGTTTTGGTCTTAAAGCATTAATTAATTCAGAGGTTCAAGAACATGGTATGTATGAGGTTAAAGTAAAAAAGTAAAATGGTCCCTTCTGCCTCTCAAAAGTGTATCAATTCATATAAGTAAATCTGAAATGGCAAGTGTACTCTGTTTTGCATTTTTCTGCTTGCAGGAAGAGCAAG